TATAAACCTAAAGTTCTGTAGTGACGAAGGGAGGTTGGCTTTCGTCTCTCAGAGAGAACATGCAGAACTTGTCATTCTACCTGAACTATTTCACAGAAAATATGTCTTCCAGTTCCATCCATTTTTCTGTAAATGATAGGATTTCATTCTTCATAGTTAATAATATTCCACTATGATATGAAGGGATGTTGGAAAATGGGTACCAAAACACAGTCAGATAAAAAGAATAAGTTCCAGCATTCTACAGCACACTGGGATGACCACACTTTATAATAACCTATTACTTATTATATAAACTCCAGAGAAGAGTGACTGAAAGCCTCCAAACATAAAGAAATGATGGGAAGAGGGAAATGTTAATTATTGATTTGATCATTTCTTTCTGTAGGCATATGTTGAAATATCAAACTGAACTCCTATAATTTTTATATATTAAGCAAAAATAAAATAAATTATTAATTTTACCAGAAATTATTTAGGAAATAAAATGGGATCTCAAAAATTCTAAACATAGCCATGTTCAATTTTCTTGAATGAAGGTTCTACAGTATCAAATGGTACACTGTGTCTCATGTACCACTGATCGGTAATAATCAGAACATTCTGTAAATGAATAAGGAATCATTACAAAATATTAAAATAAGTATAAATCATTCTCCAGAAAGTCTTCTCACCTTTGGAATTCCCCTAAAGCTATATTGCATTGCTGTACATAATGTGTTCATTATAGTACTAAATGCCATAATAATGAAATAATTTTGAAAACTCAAAGTCCTTGAAACCACTGTAACAGTTACCATCAAATGAGAGCATAGATTAGTTATGAGATACCCACATGGTCATACTCTGTAAATATGTAAAATATGATGTAGAGTTATATGTATTGAAATAGCAAAATATGTAATATATGAATTGCATGTGAAAAATTCAGGATGCAGAAGTGAGGAGGAGAATGCAAGGAGAGATTATTTCTCCCCAAAACAGACTAGTGATCATGCATCTACCTAAGTGAAGGTATCTGAAGGCTGAGTTATCCGTGCTACCTTACATGCTGAAAAGTCAAGGAAATCAAATTCTATGGTGTATATGTCATATGTCTAAAATTTCTTAAGTAATGAAATCTGAAAAGGGATACCTTCTAGAAAATGGGATTAAATAGCCAGGTGGGCGAGGGATCATTGCACATTTAACTTATATCAGGGGGTGCTGTTTAATGTTGCAGTATATTGTATTTATATTACCTTACCATTATAACGCAAATGTATTAGTAAAAACAAAAGACACTTTATTAATAAAAATTCTAAAACTATCCTTGTCCAATATCAAGACAAATGGAGGTAATCATAGAATGAGTTTAAATCCACGTAGTTATATGAGGATAAACACTATGCAGATGAAAGACACTTTCATGGTTCATAAAATTCTCAAGCTAAGAACAGTCATATTAATTTGAGGAAAGAACAAATCAAAATGAATTCCTTTATTATCTCATTTGAAAATAAACCACTTAGGGTGTTTTCATTTAAAATAAATCTACTGAAATAAGTGGTATAGATAGAACATGTACAACCAATTTAAAGAATAAAATTCCATGATCTGTGTTAATACTTTACAAATTATAAAACAATGTTTAATATTGAAAACCAACAACTACATTATGGTACAACCTATGTAGCATAACTTCATGTAGCATATAACAATAACATTAAAGAAGAATATTTAATGAAATAGAAAAACATCCACAACTTCCTGTTATATAAAAATGGGTGTGAAACCATAAGCATTGTATATAAATAAATGTAAAAACAAAAATATATCTCACACACACACTCAAAAGTATCTCTCTCACACACAGTGACCTCTGTGCTAGAAAATTAATTTCTTCTTTTCCCCCAAAAGAAATTTCCAAATATACTCAAAATTTTAATATTTTTTACCCTGTATTTACCAAACACACTAAAACAAAGTGCTTTTTATGAAATCTGTAATAAGACAAAATTTGAGTTTGAAATCCCAATGTATAAAATAATAAAATAGCACTTTTTTCTCTAACAAGGACTTATCATCTTATCATGGTATTTCATATTACTCCATGCTCTCAGATAAGTGATGTCTGTATATACACTCATGTATCTCTATATACACACTGTAGGGAAGCAATACCATCTATCCATGAAAAAGAGAAAGAACGTCTCAGTTTGTTCAGATGGAGCACTGCAAGCATATTAACTCTTCACATATGGAAAAAACATAATGGCAACAGAACTTTGGGGAATTTGTTTAATCACCAATGGATGATCTCTGAGGTTCATTTCATATAGAATATATATAGAAGTATTAGTCACTTATATCTTGCTAAGCACTATAGCGAAGGCCCAATACATAAAGGGGTACTTTGATACCAGAAGCATTGATGTTCATCTCATCCTACACACTGTAAAGATGTAGACATCAAAGTGTCAAGATTATACATTTCTTTTTTTTTTTTAACCATTCATTAGTTTCATGAGAACATTTAGAACTTGGTCTATTGTTCCACACAGCCTGGGTTCTTTACTACTTTCCTGTTTTAGGACTACCTTTTCCATTTACCAACCGGCCTGGGACAAGCCCATCTCCAGCAGAATGACAGTGGCAAAGGGAAAACCTGAGCAGAAGTGGTATGAGGGCTCTGAAAGTGCAGGGTTGGGTTAGAATGAGGTGGGTTAAATAGTTATGATGTTCCTCAGTGTCCTTGATGGTCTGAAGTGACAAGGAATCTGGTAGCCAGACTGAGGCAGACAGCCCAATCACTTTATTCTGTGTTCCCATGAAACAGATTCACCTCTAACACCTGCTCTCGCAAAAAAAAAACAGTGAATTCTATTTGCCAGGATGGAAAGTTCACACATCACCCAAAAGTTGGGAAGTGTGGATGTGGTTGTTCCCTGGCCTGTGACTGTGGGATGCACAGGGAAGTTACCACTTAGTTAACATTTGGCTTTTCTTAAAATTTATTGCCCATTTAATATTTATGCATTTTTCAACATAAAGAATACCTATAAAATATTTTAAACTATAGAATTAACTACCTTGGCTCTGCTCCATTCTGGTCACCCTTTGCCCAATGGGTGGAAATATTCATGGTTTTGGTCTTCCAAATTCTTCCATTCACTTGTTAGGTGACTTTGAGCAAATTACTTAGGCTCTCTGAATGTTTCTACTTCTGAAAATATGAAATAAAATGTATTATGAGAAATTTTAAAGTATGAAATTTAAATATGACATATGTGAAAAAACTAGGAAAAATGATAGCACATAATAAAGATGTCATGAAATTAATTTTATTTCTTTCTGATAAACTTAGCAAATATGCTTTAAAATGTGCTAAATTAATCAATTTATCAGCTTCATAGTACTGAGTTATTTACAAAGCACATAATTAAAGTATCAGTTTCACAGTGGTCTAAATTGAGTTTGATGCATTAAAAATCTATTACAAATACATCACAAAATATTTATTGCTTTATAAAGAAAACTCCTAAGGCATAAAGAGCTGGAATTTCTTAAAAAAAAGATCTAAGATTATAGAATTCAATACTTTCAAAGTTAATGTTTGCAGTTGCTCTATCAAGCCTCTTATAACAAGACCACTTAGTTGTATGATTCGAGTATCTTTCCCCACCTAATTCCTTCTAAATTTATTTCCTTTATTATAAAACTTACACCTTCAATAACTTCCTTAAAATAAGTCAAATTTTGTGCTTGTAAATCATGTTACAATTCCATGAGTTACTAAAAAGATTATTTTGTTTTTCAATTGATCTCTTTCAAATATAAGGCATTTATTCGGATTTTCTTTCTTTTTTCTTTTTCTTTTTTTTTGGATAAATGCAATAGTGGTCACGGAGTTTAACTTTTCATAGGTCTTATAGCTTAAAAAAATGTTCTTGTTATTTTAAAATGAAAAAAGAAACTTACAATGTGGAAACCAATATTAACATACCTTGTTGTATGTTCTGTTATGAACATGAGAAAGTGAATATTTTGAAGGGAAAATCCTATAAATACAACTGATATAATAAAAAATGAGCTAGATAAGAACTTGAGAAGACCTATTCTTTACTAAAAGCATGCATCAGGAACTGACAATGAAAGACCTATCAAACCAGGACTTGGGAAATTACATCTTTAAATAACTTTTTGGTTTCAGGAAAACATTACTAGCATAGAGTGACAGAATGAAAGATTATTGCCTTTTGATATTTTATTATACTTTTTTCCCTGTTCTTTAAATTCTTTTTTGGCATTAAGCAGCAGAATATTCTCTGCAAGTAAGGTTTTGGGTGAATTCCTAAAGGAAATCCACAAAATAAGAAACAGGCAAGACATTGTTGATTAGTTCCAGATCTGAATAACATAAAAAGAATTCCCTTTGCATAAGAAGTTAAATGAAAATGTTGTTATTTGTCATTTGTTTTAGAGTGGTTATGAAGCATTTTGCAAACATTAAAAACTAATGTGTTATCATCTTAACAAAAGTTTAATTTAGTCCAAGTAAATCAATATAGATTCCCAGAGTGATGAACAAGAAGGTATTAGTTTATCTGATGCTGATTTGCATTTTCTCAAAATTATTTGCTCTGTTTATGATATATGAGAACTTTAGATGAACATAATAGTTGGCCAAACAAATCACACTTAATTGTTGCCACAGCCACAGAAGTAAAGATTCTAAAAGACACTTTCTCACTGAGTTGCCTCATCTGGAGCAGGACTCAAGTCCTGGTTAAAAGCAATGGTATTTGAGCTAGTTAAGCAAGTATCTCTCCCTCATTCCATAGGGAATGAGCTGGGCTGTGGTTGCTCAGCATGTCCACCTGCACTTCGTTAGAGAGCAGAGTGTTAACATGCCACACCACAAGAGCCCCACAATGACATAACTCCATTCAGAGACTGCAGTGACTCTGCTGGTCCCCCCCACCCTCCTCAGCTCTGGTATCACTAAGAATCTGGCAGCCAGTTCCTTCCCGACAGAGTTTACAGCATATATTGGTGGATTCTTGTCCCAGTGCATCTGCTTTAAGAATTAAAGGAAGCAGTGTCAAGAAATCAAGGTAAGTGCTGTTTTAACTATAGCCCAGGGGATGCTTACTGTTTGGGACAGTGTTTATTGTAACAGAAACAGAAAAAAAAAAAATTTCAGAACAGATTTGCCAATGGCTATTCAAATGCAAACCCACCGTTCTGACCATTTACTTTCTCGTTTTGTTTATTGTGTTTTCTAAATGTTTAGGTTGTATTGATTGGCAAGGGGAGTGACAAAATGTTTCAAGGTTAGGATGAGAGAAGAGCTAAACTAGACACTGTGAAAGAATGGAAATTAAGTGTATGCTCTTCAGGCTAATGAGTTATATATGTTAGTATTGTAGGAACCTAATATTGGAGCATAGAAAGGTCACTTCAATCAGCATTCAAAATGTTTTGTGATATAGACATAGTTTTAATTTGTTACAAATCACCATCAATAGTTTGTGTTATAAAATGTGAGCTAAAGGATTTACAGATTGCTTTTTTCCTATTTTGTGAATTTTAAAAATTTGGATTATGTTGAATCTATGCTTTAAGGAACATGTTTTAAAGAATTTCTGGGAAATGATTTATTTTTGGAAAAAAAATTCCTCTATAACCACAGGTATTTTGAAAAAAAAATGGAGCAAAAAAGTACAGTGTGATTTTTCTCATAGTGGAGGCATTATATGGGTTACAAACTCTCTTTGAATTCAGAGCCCTGGTTTTTACTCTGACAAAAAATTTGGAAGCATTTTTGGTTACTACTCCAAACTCACATTATAGTTACCATGACTGTGCTGGTGGATACTCAATTTAAAATGAGGTAGAAGTTTATTAATGAAACTAGACTTATCTTTGTAGCATTAACTTACTGCAACTTACAAAGAAGCCCAGGAACATGTCAGCATGTTCTTTCTAGTTATGTGATCATCATGGCCAAGTCCTGTCCACTGAATTAAATGACTCCATCACAATCTTAGGGAATAATTTACCAAGAATCTGATTACATCTGATATTAGTGACCTAAGTGCTTCTAATAGCTTTTTTTAAATGTTTTTATCAGCTAACTTAAGTTCCTTATGATTCCAAGTTAAAGCAAACATGTTTGGAATTCTTCAGTCCTCCAAATCCTACTTGTTCCAAACTACCTTGATCCAAAATCTTGTCTCATACGTCTCATGGGAAAATATGATATTCCGTATATTGAAATGTGGATTCTATTCACATTAGTGATTTCTTTCCAGAGCTACCAGTTTTCCTTAGTCTATAGAAGTCCAACTCTTATATTCTAGTTTTCCTTTTCCTAAAGTGCTAAACCTGCACTTTTCTGCACAGTTGACCTCCTTGTTACTGAGCATCATCCTAGAAATATGTTCATATGAGAAGATAACAGTTGTAAATTATTCTAAATTTTTTTTTATTTTTAATTTAATCCTTTCCTGCATGGTTCCTGATGCGAGCATTAAAAAAACAAACTTTCCTTCATCCTCACCTCTTTCTCATTTCTACTCTGTGAGGCCACTACAATCCAGATAATCAAATCATGCCACCTTAAATTTTGTCATGAATAAGATAGACAACTTATGAGTTATTGGGAAAAAGAACTATATTTCGAAAGGTGGAAAATATTTTTTTCTACCACTTGGAAGTCTTTTTAGATTTAAGAATTCTTAGAATATTTAACATTTCTCTAATAAACATTTGTTTTATAAATATTAGTTTTAGAATAGTTTTGAAATGTGTTTGAAAATATGGAATGTTAAACAAAACTTGAAATAATGTAAATAAACACCCAGACCAAGAATTCTATTTCCCTCTTTCAGAACCAACAATAACCAGACACTTTTAAAGGAATGTACCCCCTTCCCCTTCCACCTCAAATGTAATAAGAATTGCTGTCTCCTGGGAAAACCACAGATTGTCCATGTTCCCAGTAAAGATCTTCTTAATGAGACATTTTAATGACGTTGAATGATAGGGTACAGTATGAAGTTTACAATTGTCTTCTAATTTTCATTTCTTCTTGTTTTGAGAGATATTCTGAAGCAGTGTTCTGACATTGTGGTCAATGAGCATCACCCAGCAACCTCTTGAAGAAACTAATTTAATTAAGAGAGGACCAAAAGAGAAAAACTAGAAAAGTTATCTGAGGGTTGCCCGGAAGGGGGCGCCTGTGTATGCCATCTAATCTGAAACCTGTTCTTTGCCCCAAAGTTGTAACCATACACCTCTAATCATATACTTAAATAAAAAATGTAAAGACACTATTTTTAGATGCACTGGACAACTAATACAACAAAATGCACACTGCAAATTGAATTTTCTTTTCTTGAAAGCATAGCATTATATAACAATTTATGTTTCCACTCTTATTTAGGATTCAAGGCATTTGCTGAAAATGAAGCTAGGTGCATTTACTCTCGTCTTGGCATTAATTAGTGGTGCCAGTGGCCAGTACTATGATTATGATTTCCCTTTATCCATTTATGGGCAATCATCACCAAATTGTGCACCAGAGTGTAACTGCCCTGAAAGCTACCCAACCGCCATGTACTGCGATGAGCTGAAACTGAAAAGTGTGCCCATGGTGCCCCCTGGAATCAAGTATCTTTACCTTAGGAATAACCAGATTGACCATATCGATGAAAAGGCCTTTGAAAACGTAACTGATCTGCAGTGGCTCATTCTAGATCACAACCTTCTGGAAAACTCCAAGATAAAAGGAAAAGTGTTCTCTAAACTGAAACAGTTGAAGAAGCTGCATATCAACTACAACAATCTGACAGAGTCTGTGGGCCCACTCCCCAAATCACTCGAGGATCTGCAGCTTACTCATAACAAGATCTCTAAACTTGGCTCCTTTGAGGGACTGGTAAACTTGACCTTCATCCACCTCCAACACAATCAGCTCAAAGAGGATGCCATCTCAGCAGCCTTAAAAGGTCTCAAGTCACTTGAGTACCTAGACTTGAGCTTCAATCAGATGACCAAACTGCCTTCTGGTCTCCCAGTATCTCTTCTAACACTCTACCTAGACAGCAACAAGATCAACAACATCCCTGATGAGTATTTCAAGCGTTTTAATGGGCTGCAGTATCTACGTTTATCTCACAATGAGCTGGCTGATAGTGGAGTACCTGGAAATTCTTTTAATATATCATCTCTGGTGGAGCTGGATCTCTCTTATAATAAACTTAAGAGCATACCCACAGTTAATGAAAATCTTGAAAACTATTACCTGGAGGTCAATGAACTTGAAAGTAAGTAGAAAGTTGTGCCAATGTTTGATTTTTGTATAATCTGAAGTTTTTCAAAGCCTAAGCTGAGCAAAAAAATATTGCTTCTGACTATATTTAATAGAAATGAATTAAAATATCAACAAAATATCCCTCTAATTAAAAAATATAAGATCTCTAACTCAGTTGAATATCCAATTCTTTCTAGACTTTCTTTGGAATGTGAAAATGAAGAATAGTTAAGACAAAGGAATTTAATATGAAATTTTATCAAATTTAATATTCTGTGTTAATTATCTTGCTATATTACTCTCAATATTTATCTGTTATTATTTAATTACTTTATGAGTTAAATTTGTTTCCTATACTTATTTTCTGGCAAGATTCAGCTCAGGGAGGAACAAATAAGTTCAGAAGAGATACAGTTAGCAGAGACTTTTAACCCTCTCTCACATGACGTGCACCACAGGTCATGTGCTCTCATGGTCTTCCTTGGCACTATACTTGGGACTGAGCATGTTACTCTGTTAACCTAGACCATCATCTACTTCTCTTATCTCTGTTATGGTGTGTGTGGACTTCAAGGTGTTCCAATGGACTCTGAGGGAGATTACGGAAGAAAAATTATATAAAGCAAATAAAGTTTAGAATTTCCTTATCTTTGAAAATGGTATAGTAAGAGAACCTTTTCTTTTACAAAATTCTTCCCTTCTTTGGATTTCTTCTCTTCTCTTGCTGCTATATTTTATTTTTCATCTATCTTCTGGATGGAGATTGACCCAATCCTCTTGTGTCTTCTGGGGCATTTTCAATTGAAGTAATATAGATTTTGGTGGGAAATAAAAATCCATCATTCTTGCTCTATTCATTAACAAGATATTTTCAGACAACAAAATCACAATTCACCAGTCAGGTTTTATAAATGAAAAATCAGATAGAGAACACTAATTTGCATATGCAGCAGTTGTCTTTGCAAATACTGTATTGAAGTTAATCCCTTTTATTTAATGAAAATTGGCTCCTTGTCATACTGGATAAAGATATTGCTATCAGAAAATTACAGTATATCTTATGACTACATGGTAATTCTTAAACAGTTTTCTGTAGCTTCTAGTAGGGCTGGGGGGCTTTCATGAAGGAGACCATTGGTACCAACTCAAACACCATTTTCCTTATTGTATCTGGAAAATAAGGATTGGTACTGTTTGACCACCACATGTTACACAATCGAGCTAACATAGTTTAGCTTCTATAGTTGTTTCAAGTGTGGAATTCTTTATGTAGCAATACAGGATTCCACATTTTAAACATTTGGGGTTAGGAGGAAGGATATTTTCACAGATCAAAATGATCAAGAAATTTGGATGAATGAAGAGATCCGTTAGATTTAGTGGGTGGAGATTAGCCACCAGAACAGGGCTACTTCTTTCTCTGAAATGAGACAGAAGGATGAAAATGCAGGCACATTTGCTGGTTATCCATTGTATGAATGAAGGTTGGAAGGGCCGGTGAGAGAGATAAGATGACCTACAGAAGAAAGGACAAAGGTTACTCAGTGCCACATTGAGGTAGAAACCAAAGTGCCAGCACATGGTAGTCATTTGAAAAGTTTACCCAAGCATTACTTTACTTCCTTCTTTATCCTTGGCATTGGTCAGGTATTCTTGAAGTTTATCCTAGCATCTTTCTCTTCAACTTAGGTTATTTTGCCAGGTAGTAATCATGCATATTAGTTGTCCACATATTGATAGTATAAATAGGTTCTCTAAGGTTTAATGTCTACTGTTATATGTAATGTCTAATATAAGCAAATATACAGACATCTCCCAACATCTATGATGATCGGTTCTAGAAATTTCAGTGGATACCAAAATCTACATATGCTCAAGTCTCCTATGTAAAACAACAGAGAGGTTGCTTCTAATCCACGCATATACTCCAATATACTTTAATCTCTAGATTACTAATAATACCTAAAATAATGTAATTTCCATCAAGTATTTTTATGCTATATTTTTAGGAAATAATGACAACTTAAAAGTCTGATCGTTTGAGTGCAATTTTTTTCCTAATTTTTTTGATCAGTGGTTGTTTAAATCTGAATATGTGGAACCAATAGATGAGAAGGCCAGCTCTTTAGCCTGAAATATTTTTTTATATTTTAATCTTGCAACTGTAAGCATTAGCCTAATCATAAACCTTCTTAATATGAAGTAAGGTGGAAAATAAAAAAAATTAAGAGTGTTCCTTGTGTATAAAGAACTATATGAAGTAATTTACCTACCATATTTGCATTTTCATGCAACACAATGAGATACATATGCTATATCAAACAAGAAGATCAGCTAAGTATTCCAGGTCACCCAACTGATAAGTGGCAAAGGTAGAAGCCCATCATAGTCTGTGCCCATCTTTTTTCCTTTGCTCCATAGTTTCTCAGAGGTAGATATCATAGAAAGATCCTGGAATCACTGAAGTTATTTAGAGACCATCTTGGGGGAAAAGACTGTGGTGGGTTTGGGTTTCCACTGAAGCCATTGTTTAAACTAGCATTTGCGAGTGAAAGAAAATGACAAGATAGAAGACTAGATAAGGTTAAGCTTAAATAGAGAGGAGCACACAGATATTTTCTATGTGCACACATAATCATGCAACCCAACAATAGCCTTGGTTTCTATTAAAAACTAAACCAATTTTTCATTTGCAGCAGTTTTCAACCACACAAGAACGTTGGCTCAGATGATGGACATTCCATGATTTGGTTTTTGCCTTGCAGTTTTGATTCATTGTTGTGGTGTGTGGTTGCTAGAACATTTTTTAGAGAACATCTAGTTAAATCTGTTATTTTCAGATGCATAAAACCCATGATGCATGTATTGGTGAGGCTGTTTATACAACCATATCAATTTACATTTCTTCATATCAGACTAAATATTTCAAGATTTCTTTGATAATAAGACACATTTGTAAATGCCTTTCTAGACCTTATTCATCAGAATCAATGAATCCTGTTCTTTGCAAAGTTGTATTGAGTATCCTGAGCTTCCTTATTTACAATTTACTAAATATTGTTGTGCCATTATAGTAGCCTAAAATATACTTTTAATGGTACCTAATTCAAAAGTACGTAATATAAGTGAGAAGAACATCTGTTTGATAATATACACTTAGGGAATTGTTAAATGATTGTTTCAAGACAATACACTAAAAGGAAACATTGAAAATTTTTATGCTTTAATTTGCAGAGTTTGAAGTAAAAAGCTTCTGTAAGATTCTGGGGCCATTGTCCTACTCCAAGATCAAGCATCTGCGTTTAGATGGCAATCGTCTCACCCACACCAATCTGCCACCTGATATGTATGAATGTCTACGTGTAGCAAATGAAATCACTGTCAATTAATACCTTCTAATTCCAGTTACATGAGGTGTATCCTGGGGCAGTACTTTATGGTTAGGGTTTTTTTTTTTTTTCTTTGTGTGTAAAGTTTTCAGAGTATCCATTTTTTGTTGTTGTTCATTACTTTCATGAGTTTTAAGTTCAAAGGGAAAATGTTTTGTAAACATTTACCACTTTAAAAAAAAGATGAAAAGCAGGCCTATTTCATCACAAGGACACACACACACACACACAAATAGACATCAAACACAATGCTTTATTTGTAAATTTATTATTTTCTATACCTCTACTGTCAAATAATATGCAAAACATTTTACTGTTTGCATGGAATTTAGCCAAGTTTTATAACCCCTAAATCTTAATTTAATGCACCTAAAAGCATGGTGGTCTCAATATATAAGGATGTGTACTGTCTTAGCTCAAACCATCTTGCTATGTTCAAATTTGTTCTGTTAAAAAATAAGTGGTATATTTTGAGACCAATATTTTTGCAAAATAGTAAACAGAATTTATGAAGCCACCTGCACCAAAAGAATTATTTTCAGTGTTAAGAATTTTCATATTTACCCAATGAAGCTTTTCTTTTCTAGGATTGTTTTTCATTCTAAGTCATGTATGTTTCTTTTTTATTATTTGCATGTTGTGTTTAACAAGCTAATAGCAAAATAAAACATACCAAATGGCATCATTGTTTGGCTTCTTGTGAAACTCATGTCTCTCATGTATGAAATGCATAAAGGAATACATTAAAATTCAAAAGGCATCTCTACCCTACAACGTTTTACTGGTGTACACATAGGATTTCCCACTAAATAAATAGTCTTCAAATAGCATCCACTTACAAGGAGTTACTAAACACATCTGATAATGAGTATTTACATAGCACAACATGCTTGGCTATTTGCCATTATTCATTCCCATGCATGTTATTTTTGCCAATTCATATGTAATGGTGTGTTAATAATAAAATATCAATGATTAATAATTTCTTGGTTTTTAAAAGAAAATGGTGGGTAGTTCAATGGTGAGTAGTTCCCAGAATTAGAATGAATATAAAATTTTCTGAAACTGAAATTTTAAAAATCATTGTATGCTAATGCCAGTGTATTGGGAATGTAAGTTCTAAGCTCAAACTCCAGTAATAATAACTTTCATTTAGCATATTGTGGATATCCATGTTTCTACACAATGGAAAACAATAGAGCATACAATGTATTAAAATACTATGTATCTAGCTAATAAAGCCTACTTGTGGCCAAACATCATGCAGTCAAAATAGTCATCCCAAACTAATGCCTGTAGAGTTAGATACGTGTCCAAACAAAGGAAAACATTAAAGTTTAATGTTTTTAATGGAACATTTTTAGTGAATTCTATATCACAATAAAATGTTCTATCACCAAACGACCATCATCAATTAAGACTGAGTTGACAGTCAGATGTGCAATGTATATTACATTAGGAAAATGGTGTATTTTTGATCCTCATATCTTTTCTACCTAACGTTAAGTTCCTTGGCCTGTTATATTACTCAATCCATTTCTTGGTATGAACTTAAATTTTGTTTTCTTTCCACAAAACAATATTATAGAATAAATTAAAAATAAAATTTCCTTCCCTTATCTATGAAATTCATCAATAATCCATGGAAACCTATTCTCAAGTAGGTAGTAGAGGATATGGTATAAATTCCACTTAGCAAACATGTGATGACCGTTCATGAGCTTTGTCTCTGTATTGCTTTGCAGTCTGTCTACATCTTTGAAAGTGTTTCATTTCCTTCCTCCCAAAATTCTATATTATTATTAAATCTAAAATGTAATTAACTTAAAACATAAATTCCCTTTGGAGCAAAGTTTGATTGATATGGATCAAGTTAAGTCAAGATAGTATTCCCTTGTAGAAGCATCTGGGATACACTATTTAGATCCTGTTTGGGGATAGCTCCTTTTTGCGTTCTTGGATTCTTCTTAAGATAGTGCTGGAAAGGATTCTTCTTCTTAGGGTACTTCTAGAAAACACAAAATATCTGCTTGCTTCTTCTCTCCCTTTCCCAGCCCTAGGGAGTTATGGAAGAAAAAAATACGGAGACCAACTTGTCTGTGTTTCCCTCATCTCCTTATCTCCACCCCAGTTAGACTGGTATTTTTCAAAACTGTTAGTGCTTAACCAGCATGTCATGGTATTTTCTAAATATCAATTACCAGACACAGTGTCCCAGATATACAGGCTCTGTAAATTACACAATATAAGATTTCACTTTTTTTAAGAGAATCCATAGGGGATGCTTATACTGGTGTTTTGTGTCACACATTTTTCAAAATATTTAATATATACTACAATCAAACAAGTGAAATCTAACAGTTAAAATGCAGAAAATCCCTTTTTTTTTCTAGATAAGCATGGTAGTTCCCAAAGTACATAAATGAGAATAAATATTAGTTTTCCATATTCAAATGTATTTATTGATCTCTTAACCTTGACCTCTTCATTTCTAAGAAAGTAATAATAATGTTAGTTTTAGCTGGTATAGTGGCATAGACTTATAATCCCAGAAACTCAGGAGGTTGAGGTGAGAGAATCTAAATTTAGAGGCCAGCCTGGATAAATTAGTGAGAACTTCTCTCAAAATAATAATAATAATAATAATAATAATAATAATAATAATAATAGGGTTATAGCTCAGTAGTCAAGCAATAAAGGCTGGGGTTATAGCTCAGTAGTCAAGCATCTCTGGTTTCAATCCCCAGTATAGCAAGAACAAAACCAAAAAGAAAGGGGAAAAAGTAGGTTCATAAAAATAGCATGAGTCACCTCTACCACCAAAGTTGCTTAAGTATGTCTTGATGGCACTTCTATGTTCTTTCCCCCTTCAGAGTTGCCTGATATGTACTATATCAGAGCAGGTTACTGAGAATTTACTTTGAATAAATTTTCAAGAAGTTACTAGGGAAAAATATCAACAACATGGAGAATTTGAAACAGGAGGTTCTCTCAACTGTCCCTCTGACAAAGATTTTGGTTTTGTCTCTTTCTGAATAAACTCTGCCATGAATGAATTAAATCTATGAAATACAGAAGCTCTTTTTTTTTTTTAAGAAGACTGATTCATTAAAGATTCATCTGCAGTCTCTGATTTGAAGGGGAAATGGAAAAATAAGAAAAGTTTCCCTTTGTTCTCAACATCTCCATTTGAAAATTAGAGCGAGGAGGAGCCTCCATGGTGAAGGAGAACTATAATATACTCAGCTTTGGGGTTTGTGAGGAATTACCATGCTCTAATAAGAATAAAGAAGACAGATGAATAATAGACCACTAAATAACCCATAGGAATGTTGATTTCTTAGTTGAAAATTCCCCTTCTGGTAATAGCTATGTTTTCAGAAAGACTAGAGGTTTAAAGATTGGGTTTACAAAGAACTAGATTTTTTTTTCCTTGTGATCTTTTACATTTTGGGTTTCAGTTTTGCTATAGCTATAATTTTATCATAATGACAGTCTTAGATTTTTCTTTGGTAGGATTTTTGCAACCCATGCTTGCTTAACATTTCCTCTCATGTAAAAGAAAATGCTCAGGGTATTTAAAGGGGACTCTAAAACAACTTTAAAACCTGAACTAAAAATGTGTATCAAATAACAGTGGCCTAATATGTAAAATAGATACATTGTAAATATATGAGATCAATAGAAATACATTTGAAAGTTTTCTAGCCAATTATATGTATTTACTTGTTCATTCAATAGATTTTGTTTCCAGATAAAATAAATTGAAATACAATGTGATCTATATGAAATGCACCAGTGCTTTCTTATGTGACCCAGACTCCTCAGAAGAGCACACAATGCTCCTCAGGACATCAAAAGCCCTTTGGGTTATGGTCCTCAGTTATAGCTGTTGTTTCATGTCTTACCATAATGTACCATATTAAATAGAGATATTGAAGCCAGATTTAAAGTTAGGTATCAGTGTAATTAGGTAAATCTGGTCTAATATCGAGTGAAATCTAAAATGGAGACCATGCGGAGAATGACTCAGGGAAAACACAAGACAACTCATGGAATGTTAATGAAGTCCCGAAAAGGCCCTAGGCCAAAGTCTCCCTCAAAGAAATGTTAATGAACAGTCCCCAGCAAAAAGGTGCTGACTCAGAAGTCCTTCCTGACCAGATTACTTCTTTGGCCCACCTGTGTCCCACCCCTCGGGCCTTCCAACCTACATTCCATCACCAAAACTATAAAAAGGGGAAACAACTGCACTTCCACGGATTCCACCTCTTGGGTCCCCTTCTTCCTCCGGGAGAAATCTTTTCTGCTGTCCTTTAATAAACTTCTAATTTCTACTCTGACCTTGCCTCGGTGTGCTTCTTTGGTGTTATTCTTCAACATCGGGGAAGCAAGGACTCGTCACCGGTCAACAGCGGTAACAATATTGTTTGTAGTAGGTAAAAAAATGTACATAAATTAGGAAAAGTCAGATAAATGAATGTTGTATACCCTTTTAATATTGAAAAGAGGGATCAATATATTTTGATTTAATGTTTTTAAATAAATTTGTGTGGTAAAAGTACAAGAAAAGAAACATCAATAGTCTGAATATATTAAACAGCAATCAATATTTGAAAAGTTGATTAAGGAAAAATAAATATACATTCAATAAATAAAGAATAAAGTTAAAAGGGGAGAAAGGAGAGAGTCCTGGTTTTAAGAATTCATGATGGTGGATTGCCGCAGTCTGCCTGGGCACAAAATCACGAGCCACTCAAACAGGAACAAACTTTATTTTTGAAACTCCCGCCAATGCCGGGTATGCTCCCAGGAAATATGCCGACCCACACACGCATTGTTCTCCCGGACACACCCACCAACAGGAAATCCCTCCTCCGGAATTCCCTCCTACCGCACTTCCCCAACCAATGGGAACTCTCCAGGAGTCCTGTAGCGGGCTGAGGTGGACAGCAGGGGTCTAATATCCATTTGAATGCAGATCTTAACATAATCATATCATCTCAATGG